AGGAATTGGCAAGCAAGATGCAAATAAAAGTAATGAGTAGGAGGGCTCTTGCTCATGAGTATGTTGAGACTGCTGGGTGTTTGGAATAAAAGGCAAAAGCAGGAGAATAATGAAAAACAAATACGAAAGAAAGAGTTGCTTAAAATCATTGGGGGGAGCGGATGAAGGGAAAAATGGTGTGGACACAGTTGCAATAAAATTCCAGGTTGAAGATGCTCTAGAAAGGATTAAGGGCTTGATTTCAATGTAGCTGATACAGTTGAAGCACCAAGAAGGAAGAAGGAAGGCTTTAGCAGCAAAACACCAGAGAAGATCTGAAGTTCAGTCTTCTGTCATTGTAGGAGTGCTATGGAAAGAAAATTATATTAAATCTTGTATGAGAAGGAAATGTTTCTTCTGTTTAATGACTGTTAGTTTTTCTCCCTTCTTCTGGAATTGTGGAACATAATGTTTTCCAAGGGTAAAAAGGTATTCTGCTCATTTCTGTTATTCTGTCATTACTGTCTTCATTTAAAATGCACATTTTTATTTTTCTGAGGGAACATCCTTGTTTAGCCAGGAAAAATAGCCTGTTGTAAGCATTACATAATTGTATTGAGCACCTCTCCAAGGATTCTTTAAGAGGAGAAAAAAAAGTCACTATTCATTTAAGATTAAATGTGCCTTTAATTGGGAACAGTGGCATGCTGCTGTTTCTAGAGTGCTCTCCTGGTCTGCTTCTGATATCTGTATATACAGTGCTTGTTCGTGTGATAGTGTTAACAGTTTTGAGCATCAGAAACTTTCTGGAGCTTCATTTCAAGTTTGGAAAATAGGACAGATGTGTCTGGGGAAAATGGCCTTGTGCAGCAACTTTGTAGCTTTAGGCTTTTCATTGGTGACCGAGTGTGTCAAAGTTTGTTTAGGTAGAAATGTAATGGCAGCCAAGAGCTGAGCTCAAATCAATTTGTTACCTTTAACAAGGGTGGAGTACATTTTTAGTCAGGGTTGATATTTTTCTCAGCATCAGTAAAAGCAGCATTTCAGGCTTTTCCTGTGTTGTAGAAGTTGTCTCGGATCTGCCAAACTAGTAGCACTGGATTCTGCAGCTGCCACACAAATTAAATATCTGCAAACTTAACTGAGTTTTGTGCCTCAAGCAGTTGCAGTATTGGACTTGGCCTGTTTCTGTAAGACAGGTTATTAGAATATCCTTGTGTCTTAAACCATGTGAAAATTCATTAGGGAACTAGATCTGCTTTGTATCTTCTTAATATATGTGCTTGACTATTATTCAAACTGTAGCACACTGTTTTTTGGGTTTTTGTGGGGTTTTTTTGAGGTTGCTATTACTAGACTTGTTTTTCATTTTTCTCTCATCTGATGCATTTTTCTATTTATGATATTTTTCCAACTTGTTCTGTAAAACAAAAAAAGCCCTGAATTTGGAATAAGAAAACATTATGAAAATATCTGTGCGTTTTGACTTGCTTGGTTAGAGCCAGATATCTCTATGGTTAGAGCCATCCTGGAGTCAACCCTTCATGTTTAAATGCATAACTAAATAAAAATAAAACCAAACTGTTGGGAAGTCAAACTAAACTATGTACAGGCCTTCTCATTTCTAATGGGTGGTACTCATTTGTCTTATGTCAAGTTTTAAACATTTGGAGGTATTTGTTATCTTTTGTCAAATCAAGTCACAGAGAGTGAGGTACTTTTTTTTTGGCCTGTAGTTGGTATAATGAGGTTTGAATTGAAGAATGTACCCGGGATACATGATATCTTTGTGCTACTGCTGCTATCTAAAATATGGGTACAGCAGTGAACCAGAAATACCAACTGTCCTAAAGCTGCCTAAGCAGTCCTCTATCCTGTTAATACTTTGCAACTTCAGAAGTCCTGTATTTGGGCTGCTGTTTTTCAGGCATGGTCCTTGCTTGAAAAAGAAACACGTTTAGGTGTTTTGGTGATTTTGTGTTTTGGGGTTTTTTGGTTTTTTATAAGCTGAGGCTACAATGAGACAGACATTTCTATGTTTGAGAGCAGACTTTCAAAACAGTAATTATTTTTATTCTTCATGTACTGTGATAACACTGTAAGAAGCTAATGCAGTGTTTAGCATAACAGATGACATTTAATGTGAAATAAAAATTATCCTTTACCAGAAGAAGATCTGGGTCCAAATATATGATTGTAGAATGGAAGGCACAAAAAATCATGAGACTGTGGTTTGGTATGATTGACATAAATCTTGACATACCAGCTGGCTAGCCACAACATAAATCTTTTGAGGCATCATGGCAAAGGCAAATAATCAGCTCTAAAACTTTCAAAAAAAAAAAGTTGACAAAAATTCTCAAAGAAACAGCTTTTGGTGGAAACTCCTTTGGACTCTGAGTAATGTCTTACTAGTATCACTAACTTAGGAAAGTTTCTTTGAGGGGAAAAGAATTAAGTATTGCCTGTACCTAAAGAATGCTAAGTGTTTTAACATCTGTTAACAGCCAGTGTGCGGGTTGCAGGTGGACAGGCAGCAAGTTGTAGTGAAATATATTATATGAAGGAGAGTTCTAACAGCTGTTGTGTAACTGCACATGCAAATGAAATAAAGCAGGTCTTCTGACAGGACAGTTTGGACTCTTTCTAATGAATTAGTTCTAGGTTACCTGTGGTCTTGCAGCCCTATGGTAGGTTTCTACAGGGGAAAAAAATAACAACTTCAGATGATATTGGAAATGAGCTGCTCCCAATGCTGATGGAACACAGGAACTGCTGTGCCCTGGTATCATGTCCTGCCGTATGTAAACGGCAGCACAAAATAGCTGTCCAGTGGAGGAAACCCCTCAGTGGCAATTGGGGAATAATCTGCTGCCTCCAACCCTGTTACTTCCAAAGAAACTTTCTCCAAATCTCAGTTGTTTGGAAGGCTTGTTTTCTTCAGTGTTTGTCTTCATTGCAGTAGTTGGGTGTTATTGTTAAGTCTGCAGTTGTGCTGTGGGATTTGCATATTTTTAGTCCTTCTAAACTCTGGACTTCCCTACTGTCTTTGCTAGTGAGTTTCCTATGATAGTTACAGCTGAGATACTTTGTATTGCTTTTTAGTCTGCTGTTTAATCACTTTGTTATTTCTCCATTTCTTTAGGGATGTTAGGTATGGCTTCCCACTTAGATGTTTCTGTGGTTTCTTTGAACCTATAAAAGCGAAGAAGCATCTTGGCATAGAAGCCCAGTGCTTGGCAAATGTTAATTTATCCCCCATAAACCCTTGTTAGAGGGGGAAAAAAGCTTATCTTCATGATAAAACAGCTGGTCTTTCCTCATTCTCAGATGTAGGCTAGCCACAGACATAAGGCCCTTGTTCAAGCTCAGATATGTCTGTCTTTTTCATTTGAGTAAATTAGTATAATTTGAACTCTTTTTTTGGTACCAGCTTGTGAATGGCTTATATGATACAAGGCTTCATCATTGTGTGCAAAAGTATGATTATCTGGCTTAGAAAGTTGACTTCAGCCAGAATTACTGCATTACTGACATTTTGCTCAATGTACTTGCAACAGGCAGCAGAAAAACTTTAAATCTTATTTTCTTGGGGTTCTTTTAGAGGGAGAGTCTATATCTTCATTTCTAAAAGAAATGTGGCATTTTAGTGTACTATGAAATAGGTACATATAGGTATCTTTCTAAAGAACTGATGGGGAAAAAGAAAGTGACTTTCTGGAGGGCTGGTGCTTATTTGCTTTGAATATAACCAACTAGGATTTTTTTTCTCCTGAATGAAACGTAGCCTCTCTACTGCATAGAATCAGTTGTGGATGCAGTTTGCAAACCAAAGTCATTTTAAAAGCAATTATTAGACTAATTGGTCATTAAGTTTTGAAGCTGTATAATCAGGCTTATGTGGATGTCCTCACAACCTTAATTACTTAATAGTGTGCTTAACTTACGTTAGTAAGAATATTTCAATTACTGCTGTTGGTCTAGAGAGAGATGTCACCAATACCTGTCAAATAGCACATTACAGCATTTCATTTAACAAAATCTTCATTTGTAAGCAATATTAATGGGAATGCCAAGATTTGCCTTTCCCAGCTGTCAATAGCTCCGCCTGTGTTTTCACCCCTCCAACATCTTCGTTTTGCATACCTCTTCTCCCTCATCTCCTGCTACACTAAGAATTTTTTCTTCAATTGATATCATCCTCTCTTGTCTCTCCGTGCATCTGATGGATGATTAATGGTGACTTTACCCTCTCTCATTAGTCTGTATTACTGACTGGCAGAGCGAGGAGTGAAATGAAGTCCTTTTCTGGTTAGTTAGAGAAAAGAACCTGACTGCTGAAGCAGCACACACATCAGACACATCAGTCTTTCTGATGGACTCCTAAGCTAAAAGGGATGGACTCTGGTTACAGTGTATTTTCACTTGTCTAGATTTTCTTTTGTCTTCAGAAAGGTAGCGGAGTTGGAGGGACAGATGAAACAGGAAACTAGAGAAGTCAAAAGGGAAAATATGGATGACTAGAAGGAAAAAAAAGAGGGGAAGGGAAAGTTATATTTG